GAGACTGTCTTGACTCCATTGTATGCTCTTGCCTCCTTTGTTGAATATTAATTGGGCATAGTGGTTTGGGTCGATTTCTGGGTTCTCTGTTCTATTCCATTGATCTATATGTCTGTTCTTGTGCCAGTACCAAGCTGTTTTAAGAACAGTGGCTTTGTAATACAGTTTGATATCTGGTATTGAGATCCCACCTACTTTGTTCTTCTTTCTCAGGATTGCTGCAGATATTCGAGGTCTTTTTTTATTCCAGATGAATTTTTGGAACGCTCCTTCTAGATCTGTGAAATATGCTGTTGGTAATTTAATGGGGATTGCATTGAATCTATAGATTGCTTTGGGTAGTATGGACATTTTGATCAGACTGACTTTTGAATTCGCCATTTATGGGCTACTTTGTGATAGTCTTTATCAAGCATTTTTGGAATTAGTCAATGCTGTGCAAATAAAATTTGTTTAAACTGAGCTCAGAAAAGAATTTCTATGGACATGGAATGGGTTAAAGAGGTTAAAGAGCTCATAGTTTCAATAATCTAGGAGAAGTGCTAAAACATTTAATTTTGGATTTTGTAATATAGAAATATCACTCAAATGCAGCCTTTTAATGAGTATATTAGTTTAGAGCCTGGCTGTCTGCTGCTTTTGCCAATGGGGTTGCCTCTTTTTAAAAAAATGGGTTGAATGTAATGGGTGAGTTCAGCAGAGTTATCAGTGCAACAAAATGATCTAAACTAAGATTTAAAAAATGTTCCCTGGTTGTAGTGATTATTTCTGAGGGGAAAATTTTTTAAGGGATATGGATAGAGAAAACTGTTTGTTGCCCGGCTAGTTTATAGAGTATCTAACACTTTTATTTTCTTTACAGAAATAGGTATGAAGTTCATTGGCAAAATTAAGCTACCCCTCCCCTAATGTTCTAGGAACACCTCCCCTCCCCTACTTGCAGAGAAGAGCTATAAGGATATTACCAAAGAATGGCCAGTTAGTTTGAACATTTTGATTGGCTTAGAGATGGTTGTATCACCCAAGCATGGCCAATGAGAGCTCTGCCAAAAAGATTTACTGAAATTTTCTTAAAAAATTACTACTCCACCCGTTAGTTGCTAGTGATTGTTGTTAGTTGCTAGTGATTGTACAAATTGGAGCTGGTGGGAGCTCTTGTTGCCATCACATGTCACACAGAGAGGTCTCTGCCTAAGGACAAAACAGAATGAGGAAAGCAGAACCAAGAGGAAGAGGGAACTTCCTAAGGCAGCGGTTCTCCACCTGTGGGTCATGACCCCTTTGGGGGTTGAATGACCCTTTCACAGGGGTCGCCTAAATACATCCTGCATATCAGATATTTACATTACGATTCATAACAGTAGCAACATTACAGTTATGAAGTAGCAACAAAAATAATTTTATGGTTGGGTCACAACATGAGGAACTGTATTAAAGGGTCGTGGCATTAGGAAGGTTGAGAACCACTGTGACCTAAGGGCATTTTTGAAGCCCTGGATCTAATTGCCTCAAGTCAGTCACCTCTTAGACTTCTCAGGAATGTAATCCATGAAGTGACCTTTTAATTTAAACTAGTTTTGGTTGAGTCACTTTCACTGACAACTAAAAGTATACCAACCAAACCCCTGACTACCTAAAGTTTTTTTTTGTTTTTGTGGTTTTTTTTTTTTTTAATATAATGTCACCAAATTAAAATATTCATTTTAGGAGGGCAAGGAAGAGACTTTCCTATATTGTTCACCATTTTACCTCTATCATACATTACAGCGACTGTCACAGAGATGCTCTTTGTAAATATTCATGGAATGAATAAATGATTAATTAGTTCAATTCAATTTAATAATTTAGTTCAAGTTGCTGGGTAAGTTTTGTCCAAGGCCTTATCGTTGGAGATAATAATGTAATAAAAGAAATAAGAGAGGCAGAGATTTTGTTCTTCAGTTTCTGATTTTGTACAGGAATCGAGGTATAACAATAATTTAAGGCAGGGTAGGGAAGGGGCTACCAGGAGGAAGGTTGTAGGTCAAGTCATCAAGGACTCTAGAGCTAGACTACTGGATCTGAGTCAGTGCTCCACACTTGTTCACTGAGTGACTTTCGGGACATAATTTACACTCAGTTGACTTAACTCTAAAATGGGGGTGATATTTGTATGTTCTTTATAGATTTGTCATGAGGATACATCCAGATTTTCTACTTAAAATGTTT